GCCGCCCCGCTCTCGGGAGGCGGCGCAGCCGCTCGCTCCGCCCGGCCCCGGGGTGCACCTGGTGCGGGCGGGCGCGCTCCTCCCCGCCGGCAACGAGGCGCGAACAAAAGGGACGCGCAGCGCCCCTCTGGCGGCCCGCGCACAGGCTTGCGCCATCACCTCAGGTTCAGCAAGGGCGCGTGCAGAGGCCTGCACTGAGGTGGGCGCGCCCAGGGCAATCGCGCTGAGCAAGGGGGAGCAGGGTACCAGCCCATCTGGCTGCAGTGATGGACGGCCTGAAGGCCTAGACTTGGCTGGGAAATCTGCCTCCCCGCAAGAAGAAACCTCACATCCTCCCCCCGCCATCTCCAGCTGGCCTGCGCAGCAATGAGGAGCTGGGAAATCACCACGGCCCAGAGCAGGGTGCTGCCTCTGAAACCCGAGAGCCACGAGGCCACGGGCAGGGAGACCTGCGCGGATTCGGATGAGGGCTCGGAAACACTCGTGCAAAAACCCTGTCACGCAGCAGCAGAGCGCGGAGGCTGGAAGGGAGAGTGAACGGGTCTGAGCAAGGTTTTTCCCCCCATTCATCTATCCCTTGCAGCCTCCAGCATTTAAGGTTTGGGACACTGATTCGGAGCCCATGGCTCGATAGCAACTGATGTCCCGTTCCTGCACAAATGCCTCCAATGCCAGTGTGAATCTGGCTAAACTCTCACGTCTGGGGCAACGAGCTCCACTCGTTAATGGCACGTGGTGTGAACAAGAACCTCCTTATGTTAGTTTTCAACTTAACTACCTTCCCGTTTCATTTTTGTGACCCCTCATCCTTGTAATGTCTGAGATGCAAAATCATAAACCCCTACCTACTTTCTATGTACTAGCTTCGACAACTGACTTACTGCTTCACTCATAGGCAAGGGCTGGCTGAGTCAGCTGAAGATGGAAGCAAAAACAAATCAAACATCCTTGGAATGTGTATTGATTTGCTACAGCTTATCCTGTTTCCAAAAAACCCAACGAACGAGGCAAAAAAATAACCAAAAGATGTTCTTTCATTAGACCTGTAGTCATTAATATTCAATGTGAGTCTCTTGCAGGTTCAGCGGACAAGATCTAACCTTCCTGAGCCTCTTGACGGTGCACCCCATGCTTCACTGCAAGTTATTTCCACACCAGCGTCGATGCTTTTTAGCTAAAATGGGAAAAAAAGATCTGCCGGGCTGTGAAACAGAAGCTGCGTGACCAGGAGCAGCTAACAGAGCAGAACTGCAGAAGAAAAGGGAGCTTAATTAGTGGAGCATTGAGGCCATTAAAAAGGAGAGAGGGTCATTAACACATGGGGAATGAAGAGTATAAAAGGAATCGGGTAGATCATCATGAAGTCAACTGACTCCGGTGTTGCTGCCTACGTAGAAATGCTGCTGCCGTGGCCAGGCAGTTGGCTTTAAACTTTGGGTAGACCCAGAATCAAAGGGGGGTGCAACTGCACCACTGCACTCCCCTGCGGCTGTCCCCAAGGCTTTCCAGTCTCAGCCAAGAGAAAAAAGAAATAGTCTCTCCCTGTCATACAACAGGGGAAACTGAGGCACAGGAAGGCCTTCCCCTGCTCCCACGAGGGCTCACCGAGACTATGACCCGGCTCCTTCCTGCACAGCCCTGTCCTTTCCCACCAGCTAGGACAGAAGGATTCAGCTCCAGCTACCCTAATCCCAAAACCTGCTTTTGCGTGCGCCCCTGGGAGGTTTTTATGGTGCTTCCTCCAGGGCCATCCCCCTGTCCCTTGACAACATGATTGCCCAGCAAAAAGGCTCTTTTGGATAATATTACAGAGGAAACAGCTGAGACTTGTGCTCTCTGTGGCTCAGCAGATTGTACAATTGATAAAGCCTTTCTGCACGTTCCAGTTACTTGGACGTGGGGGTTTGTTTCTGGTCCCTTTTGTGCTCGGTGGGTGTGTCTACATGAGACGCTTACTGTGCATTAGCCTAATAACACTGCGCAGTCACGTGGCGGTTCAAAACCGTGCTAACAGCCGACTGCACAGCGGTATTAAGCTAATGCACAGTAAGCCTCACAAAATAACTGCACTAGTATTAGTGCACTAGCTTAGTACTAGTATTAAGCAAGTACTAAACTAAATGAGCAGTGTTTAATGCGCATTAATGAACATGTAGATGCACCCGGTGAGTAACACAGAAATACGTAAATGAAGATCTACTCCTAAGAAAAGTACAGTTCATGAATACACATGAGGAAGCCTTGACCTATCCACAAGCAAGCCAGGAGGCTACACTCGAAACAGCCGCTTTCAGGCCGACTCTTTCGAGGTGGCAGCTTGTTTCCCAGTGCGTGTGATGGGCTCAACCCGCCTCACGTGTACGACCAGTGCCTACAAGTGTTTTACAGCGGGGTGGGCTGCTCTGCTCGGCATTCAAAGGTGGATTTCACATGGAGCACAAAGAATTTGTTCAATGTGACTGGTATCCAGGCGGTAGCTGTATTGGTCCAGAGGAAAAGGCAATCAGGACTTGTCGTAGAGATGATCTCTTTTATGAGACCAACAAGATTTTTGCAAAAATTAATTTGCAATTTTAAAGAAAAAAATTTTTTTTGCAAAAATATTGTTGGTCTCATAAAAGTGATCATCTCTACAACAAGTCCTGATTGCCTTTAGATGTTGTTGGGATTGCAAGGAGCAAGATGGGAAGGCGATTCAGTCACTATGACAACAGGCACCGACACACTTGGGCCTTGTGCAGATTCAAGACTAGAACGGTTTTGACCATGAAATAGCAAACAGCAGCACTGGAAAAGCAAAGCTTTTATGTATCACTAAGTCAGAGACGGAGGTCCTGCTTACCACGCTCCATCATTTAGCTACCCCAGATACAGAGGAACTAGGCAGAACAGAGCACGGGTAAAGCTGCAAGGTCCTTTCAGCTGCATTTGCTCCTCTTCCCCAGCAAACTGCAGGCCTAGGAGCGGGGAAATTCATGAAGAGGAAAAGAAAGGGGTCGCACCTGTTATGTACTTGCTCTGTTCAAAAGCCAGCTCCCTTGGGTGGATAAAGAGCATCCCCCTGATCATTGTGCTGTGACGGGTCTTGTTCATGGCTTAAATGCCAGCCCACCCCATGTCCCATGACACAGCGGTGATTAGCCAGGCCATCGCTAGCAAAGGCAAGGGTTAGGGTCCAATGCTTATTTTTTTTCTTTTACCAACATAAATTGGGGTTGGCCAAAATAACTCCTGAATGTTCATTGATTTAACCAAATTGTTTTGTCAAAGGAAAAAGAATTAAGAACTAGCTTTGATTTTTGTTCTTTATCAAATTGAAGTTTCAGTTCAAGGTTCGCTTCGGATTTTATCTAAAATTCTTTTTCAAGGCTTGAAAACAAAATGTTGCCCTTGAGATACAATAAGTTGGGGTTTTTTCCCCCGCTTTTGATTCGCATTTCACTGAAAAATCTGAACAGCTTTCCCTTCCGCTTGATCCCAAATGATTTTATGTATCAGAAATGTAGGCCCCAAGTAAATCATCATTGGCATAGGCCTTGTTACTAGCCCCAAAATAAGCCTGTGTCTGAATTTGAGAGGAGAATACATAACTGAAAGACTTCCCTTTCCTCATTAATTCATTCAGCAAGGTGAAGATGGCATTTCCTATACATCTTACTTCAAACTTCAAGCCAAGCTTGAATTGAGAGGGATCAGTGTTCTCCTCTCGCTAAAAGAATTAGGGGAAAAAGAAGGAAAGAGGCTCTATTAATAGGGGATATTCAAGTCAGCCACCAGCAACCACAGACTAGATGGACCTATTGGTTTTGGCTTCTTCACGCTCAGATTCACACAAGTTTAGGGCTGCAAGGGACCTCTTGAGATCATCGGTCCAGCCCACATCTCTAGGCAGGGAGGACTGTGGGCGTGCTGCATCGTGCCTCACCCAAGGAAACCTCCTCCCTATGGAAAAGGCCTTCTAAAACTCTCTCCCAGTTCCTTTCTTTGCTGGTTTCAACTTGTCATTGATGGATTGAATGGCAGGGCCCCCAGCCGAACCTCAGCCTGGCTTTTCCCTGATGCCTCAGTTTCTCCCTGATGCTGGCGGGGGGGGGGTGTATATAGATAGATAGATAGATAGATATCTATAGGTATCTATATCTATATATATTTAGCACAGAAAGCCAAGCATAGTTACTTTGCTGGCTTCTTTTCCTTTCTTTTTATTGGCTTTTTTGGGGGGTATACACACACACACACACACCCCCCTAACATTTGCCCTTCCCTTGGCCATGTGAGGGCTCCTACTCTCACACACTGCACTGACTGTGATTACAAATCACATTGATTTACTAGGTGATTTACTAGGTGCAAAAGCACAGCAGGACATGTATTTGGGGCACAGGAAAGTACCCATTTGGGTTGGGGAAGGCTATGAAGTCACTGCCGCCTTCACTTCCTCCTTCCTCCCCAGATTTTGCCTGCACGCACAGCTGACCTGGGTAATGTGGTCCAGGTTTTCACATGGGAGGCGATGGCGCAAATTTGGCCCCTGTGTTTTGTACCTGAAGTCTGATCCCACAAGTCACTCCAGATACTGGAACAAGTGCATGATTAAAAGCAGACACCAATGTCAGAGCATGATGCTGCAGGCACTGCCTGTAACCTAGAGAAGGTTTTGGAGACTTTTTAGCACACTTTTGGAGTTACTACTTGAGAATATATACTCATAGGGCACGTCTGCATGAGATGCTTTAAGGCACATTAGCCTAAATTTAAGGAGCATTAGGGCTCACAGCCTTTAATGCACTTTAAAAAAATGGCAATTTGAGGCTGATCACATTTGATACCTGCAAATGCAGGTATCAAATTTAGACCGAAATGGTT